GTTATCTGATCATCAAGGGAACGTGGTGTTTTCTGTGAACATGTGTATTGTTATCTGATCATCAAGGGAAGGTGGTGTTTTCTGTGAACGTGTGTTGTTATCTTATTTTTATTACTTAATGATTTTTTTTCAGAGATACTTGTTCAAATTGATGTAGTGTTCTAATTTTTTATGAAAATTAAAAAATATCATTTATGAATCATGACTGAAACAGTACTTTGGGGAATGTACACAGTATGAACTTGTTTCATTCAATTTATTTTTGTTTTTATCATTTTTATTTTTACTTGATTGATGAAAAAAGTTTTCTCCAGCTTTTGAAATTTTTAGCTGTCTTTGTCTCCAATTGTTTAGGTGTGATATTATGCAGTATTAAATAGTAAACACCTCATCAGACTTCTATAACCATTTAAATCAAGCACCTGCAATGATTAAGTTACCCATGTGAAAAGAATTAATGCATTAAGCTCAGTTAAGCAATGCTAGTTTATCCCTGGGTGTAACCAGGCAACCATAACCATGGTGACACATTCTATTTGTAATATTGTGTTTATCTTACAATCATGGACACAGACAACAATGACCTTGGCCAGTGTTCAGTGGTTCAAGTGAGGTTGTGTGTCTGAGCCTGGTTTCTGTAGAGCTGGGTCTGTGCTGCTGAAAGTGAACTGTAAGGAAAGAAAGGGGTAACATGTGTCCAGACCAACCCAAAGGTGTTTACTGACCAAGGTCCAAAATATTGTGAGCTCTGCTTTGTAAATAGAAATTTTAAAGAGTGTACAGACATTTGGTCTTGGTTGGAGAGAAAACTGGCGAGGTGGATTGTTGTGCTGTATATCAATGACTGATTATTCACACTTGTTACTTGATAGTTGACTTTAATACTATGGCTGTGCAGTGAGGCAGAAATATGGTGTATGGGGCATTCAGGGGAGTTCATTCAGCACTGGCTACAGTTTGTAAGACCTCTTAGGCTGTTTAAATCAACACTAGCAAATGTTATAGAACCTTTGTGTTGGGTGCTTGACGGCATATGCTGCAGAACTCACTTTTAGGATGGCAGACAAAAGTTGCATTAAACAGACATTTACTTTATGCTGTATAAAAAATGGCCCTAATCAGAATGATTGGTTTATAATTAGAGCTAATTGACTGATGTACTTCCAGTGGTTAGACATACAATTGTGGTGCGTGATCTTGCTTTTCCTTCATGGAACATTGAAATCTAAAATTTACTTTGAATGGCTTTTCTTGCACATATTGGGATATAAACATAAATAAAAATCATGTGAACTTATTCAAATCATCACATGTAGCAGGTAATACTGGTTATAATTAGAAATCTGGTAAAAGATTAATTGACTGAAAACCCTGCACTACACCTGTGCCACAGTACTGATTACTGCATCATATACTGCTAGTGTGACTTACTATCCAGAGATTTGCCTGTATAATTACTGTATCATACTGTTAATGTGACTTAATACTATCCAGAGATTTGCCTGTATAATTACTGTATCATACTGTTAATGTGGCTTACTATCCAAAGATTTGCCTGTATAATCATGTGACAACTCAAGTTATGGTTATAAAGATACTGGACACTTTCCACAGTCCTTTAATTGGTTTTAATCCTGTCACCCCCATGGAGATAAGCTCATATTGTATAATAATCATGGTTGTTTTCAATAACTTATTTCTGATGCCAAAGACTGCTGGCGCTGAATACAGGGATGAGATTTTTCAGACTATCAGTGGATTTCTGACTTTTTTGGGAGTCAAAAATATCATTGGCCTGGGTGCCCTTCCAACTTTTTCACTAAACGACAGTCTCATCTCTGTGAATATGCCACATATTAGTCTACATAACAGACTCCATTAATTCACTTTGACAGGCTGATACTTGCCAGCACTTTTGAAAAGATTTCGTTGTGAAGAAAATTCAATGAATTTTTAGTGGCTGCTAAATTGGCTGTATCAGTTTTCAATTCAACATTTAGATAACCTTGCTTTCAGACGCCCATGTCATTCCATAAACCTTCTACATACACACACCAATTACCAAGACTGGTATGTAAAGTAAAAAGGCAAACAACTTTGTGTGCTCCAACTAATTTTAATGTTATAATTACAAAGTGAAGGTTTTAATGTAATTAGCATTGGGATATGATGTTAAACAGACATTTCTATTGACAGACTTGCATAGTGTGTGGAGGCACATTTTGGTATTTTCTTTACACATATTGATGTATGGCATTAAATCTGTGCTCAGTGCAAAAATTATCACAGTCTGGTTAAAATATAGTGAGGATTTCACAATATTGAAAAATGACTAATTATACACATCAATAACAAAATATTTTATGGTACAAGTTTTTGGTTTGCTACTCATGATGTGATAGTGATTTTAGTAAGTTTAATAATTTACAAATTAATTACATATGATTTGGATTGTACATAATTATAAATACCATCTGTTCATCAGTATTACCCAAATAATTAATGGATTTAAAGTTCTACATGTATCCATAACCTAGGTGAATGTGAATTTATCTGAAATTTGAAAACAAAGAACTGCTAAGAATTATCAGGAACTAAATATACACTGGAATTCTACCTGTGGCCAGCCATTCAACCTTGACGCAGGATTCAAACCTGATGAATGCTAATGGCCCTAGTTACTGGTGGACCCCACCTGAGGGACCCCACCTGACAGAGCTGGCACATTGTAAGTGACACTGGAGACCCTGCAGGAGGGCAAAGGAGAGGGGCCTTATGACAATGGCCTATCACAACAGTTTTTGTTCCTATTTTTCTGATAGTGACAGAGCTTTTTTTTTTTTTTTTTTTTTTGCTGCATGTTATGTAGCCCTTGTAGGGTTTGAGTTTGACAATCAAATATACCAGTACTTATCAAATTTTGAAAAATTTTCATGTACTTTTAACCTTAGTATAGTCAAACCACTAGTGCTGAAAATAGTGCCATATTTTTCTCACTGCACCAAAGCAAGCACCAACCAAAACAATCTTTAACTGCAGTGACACTGAAAATACCAACAAAAGTTACAGCATTTCAAACTTGTGGAAATATATGCTAAGTTCATTTGTTCAAAAAGAAAGATGCACTTAGTAAACTCAAAGTGTGATACAATCTAAAACAGACCATTCTGTATGTAAATAGTTATTTTTTTGTCTTATATAATATCACAGTATAAATTTTATGACAATAATTTGAGCAAATCTGATTGACTGTCCCCACACTACTTAAACAGGTGGAATTGATTTAATATGTTACAGATTCAACTTTTAAATAATCTTAAACATTCGTATCATATTTTAGTTACAATTAAAGTTGTTACTTTAACTGTATACCCTAATTTAAGTAGTATTCTTGTGAATATAATACATTCTTAAAACAATAATTTACTGCTCTTTAAGGCCTTTCTATCTCTCATTAAGGTGCTTGACTTGAAGAAGTTAAGATGTAAATATTGATACTGTAAAAACAATTATTTACTCTAGATCTGTGGATGCCAAAATCGTGATGAAATTAAACCCTACAGTACATTGGGTAAAAGTTGGTTCTGGTATTTCATCAAATAAAAATGTTCTAGTACAGTAGAAAGTGGCTACATTAATTAAAAGGTAAAAATACAAATTTATGAACAACACCATCTCTCAAAGAAAATCAAGACACCAAAAAAGTCTTGATTGTCACATATAACTCCCTGATTAGTATCTAGTCTGTATAAAAGTTTTGTCTTATTTTGTATAATCACCTTATGGTCATTTTTTCTAAAAGAGGACTGTAGTCAAGTATCAGCACACATCATAATGCTCACTGCCTGAATATAGATCACAAAATAGTGCAAGTTTTGGACTTCTGACCAGCACCACCAACCACATTTGCCTGATCCTCTCTTCTATATGAGCCATTGGAAACGTGAGACTTGGTTTTGAGAGAAGCCATCTTCTCCTTGTCCACAAACTCTTCCACTTCTGCAATCATATCTGTGACATCTTTGAGCTCTTTTTCTAATGTCTTTATTCTCAGATCTTTCCCTTCACCATCAGCTGTAAGTCTCTTGACACGTAACTGGAGATCTTTAATCTTCTGTTCTGAGCCTTCTTTTTCTCTCCTGCTCTCGTCAGCCTGATATTTCAGCACAGCCTTGTACTCCAGTCCTTCTCTGCGCTCAGTACTGGTCAGAGAAAGGCTGCTACCAGGACGCTTCTCCTGAAGATGCTTTAACTGCACTTCCATCTCCTTCAACTGGTCATTGATGCGTCTGTTCTTCTCTCTTTCTTGGTCCAAGTCTCTTAAGAGGCCATCCTGCTTATTTTTAAGTTCTTCAACCTCTTCATCCTTCTGTTTGTGAAGGTGTTCAATAGCATTCTTGTACTTGGTATTTTCTTCTATTAGTTTCTGGAATGCAATCTTCTCTGCCTCCTGTTCACTCAGGGTGGACTGTGCTAGCTCCTCCACTGTGGGCTCTTCTTTCTTTTCTTTTTCCTTCATGTCCTCTGTTGATTTACTGTCTTCCTCTTTCTCAGATGTAACATTGTTTTCTGTTGTTTGTGCAGATAGTACTGTGGCTGTCTCTTCAGACTGTTCACGGTTCTGATTCTCTGCCTCTACTTGTTGGTCTGGGTTAGTTTCAGCTTGGACCTGAACTCCGAAAGCAGCCCCATCTACACTGTCACCTGGAGTCTTATTCTCTTCTGCTGGTTTATCAGAGGATTCCTCTTCTGCCTTGTCTGTCTTACTATCTTCACTTTCAGTGGCAGATACTTCTGTGGATTTGATGTCCTCCCTGGGAGCCTCCACAGATTCAGATGTCTCTGCTGGTTTGTCCTCTTTACAAGGTCCCTCTGATGGCTTGGTATCTTCAGCACTTTCCACTGCCTTTTCTTCTGTGACTGTGGCTGGTTTTGAATTATCAGCCTCCTCTGGTGGCTTCTCTTCTGCCTGTGTGAGTTCTGTTTGCATAGAACCCTGACTGACCTCTGTCTCTTTGCTCTCCTCACCACCTTCAACTGGCTTCTCCTCAACAGGCTTGGATTCCTCAGCCTTATTTTCCTCCATTTCTGTTTGCTTCACATCTTCTGTTTTGGGTGTTTCACTGTCTGCAGGTTTAGGTGGCTTAGAACCTTCTGATTTAGCTTGAGCACCTGCTGTTTCTGCTGGTCTGGTTTCTTCTGAATCTGCTGCCTTTTCTTCCATTGGTTTAGACTCCACCACCTCTGTGGGCTGACCTTCCTTGGGTACAGCATCAGCGACCTTAGCCTCCTCAGTATCTTTTGACTTCTCTGTGTCAGGTTTTGCTCCCTCAGAACCTGCAGGCATTTCCTCGACAGGTTTAGTGTCTTCTGAGTCTGTTAACTTTTCCTCTGCTTTGGTCTCTGGCTCTGCTGATAGTTCTGCAGTTTTTTCCTCTACAGGTTTAATTTCCTCATTCTCTGCTGTTTTTTCTTCAGTTTTTACTTCCTCTGTTACTTCTGTCTTTTCTTCTGAAGATCTGACTTCTTCGCTTCCTGCTGGCTGACTTTCTTCTGCCTCAGCTGGCTTGCTTTCTTCTGTCTCTGTTGGCTTGCTTTCTTCTGTCTCTGCTGACTTGCTTTCATCTGTAGTTGGTTTGCCTTCTTCTGCCTCAGCTGGCTTGCTTTCTTCTGTCTCTGTTGGCTTGCTTTCTTCTGTCTCTGTTGGCTTGCTTTCTTCTGTCTCTGCTGGCTTGCTTTCATCGGCTGTTGGCTTCTCTGCTGGGTTGCTTTCTTCTGTTTCTGCTGGGGTAGCCTCTGCAGACTTAGCTTCTTGATTTGTTTTTTCCTCTGCAGATTCATCTACCTCTTGTGTGTTATTCTCTTCCACTGGTTTCTCTTCATCTTTTACTTCCCCACTCTCTGTGGGTGTGACCTCACTTGGTTTCTGCTCCTCCGGTTTTTGAACTTCAGCCTCATTATGAGAATGATGGTGCTCATCATCCCCTTGCTTCTCTGCATTGCTAGCTTCAGCTGGTTTGTCTTCAGTTGGTTTGTCTGCTGATACATCACTTTCCTGCTTCTGTTCTTCTCCTGGATGACTTTCTACAGGGGTGACCTCCTCCTGCTCAGTACTCATTGTTTCATCAGTGTGCTCTTCTCCTTTGATAAATATCACCCCAGAACTGGGTGTAGAGTAAGTTGCAATAACAGAATTTGGTCTTGAAGTCCTCTTCTCCTTGGCGCGGCTGGGTCTTGAGGAATCGGGACTTATTGGGTTTTGTGCTTGATTGCCTGAGCTTGGTCGGGATCCAGCTGGCTCTACAGCAGGGACTACCTCTGAAACAGTTTCTTCTTCTGGACTACTCGTTTTTTTGGTGGAATTGGAAGAGCTAGGTCTGCTCAGCTGTTTAGCAGATGCTGAACTGGGTCTGGAACTGCTTGGTTCTTTANCACAGTGAAGGTTTTAATCTAATTAGCATTGGGATATGATGTTAAACAGACATTTCTATTGACAGACTTGCATAGTGTGTGGAGGCACATTTTGGTATTTTCTTTACACATATTGATGTATGGCATTAAATCTGTGCTCAGTGCAAAAATTATCACAGTCTGGTTAAAATATAGTGAGGATTTCACAATATTGAAAAATGACTAATTATACACATCAATAACAAAATATTTTATGATACAAGTTTTTGGTTTGCTACTCATGATGTGATAGTGATTTTAGTAAGTTTAACAATTTACAAATTAATTACATATGATTTGGATTGTACATAATTATAAATACCATCTGTTCATCAATATTACCCAAATAATTAATGGATTTAAAGCTCTACATGTATCCATAACCTAGGTGAATGTGAAATTTGAAAACAAAGAACTGCTAAGAATTATCAGGAATTAAATGTACATTGGAATTCTACCTGTGGCCAGCCATTCAACCTTGACGCAGGATTCAAACCTGATGAATGCTAATGGCCCTAGTTACTGGTGGACCCCACCTGAGGGACCCCACCTGACGGAGCGGGCACATTGTAAGTGACACTGGAGACCCTGCAGGAGGGCAAAGGAGAGGGGCCTTATGACAATGGCCTATCACAACAGTTTTTGTTCCTATTTTTCTGAAAGTGACAGAGTTTTTTTTTTTTTTTTTTTTGCTGCATGTTTTGTAGCCCTTGTAGGGTTTGAGTTTGACAATCAAATATACCAGTACTTATCAAATTTTGAAAAATTTTCATGTACTTTTAACCTTAGTATAGTCAAACCACTAGTGCTGAAAATAGTGCCATATTTTTCTCACTGCACCAAAGCAAGCACCAACCAAAACAATCTTTAACTGCAGTGACACTGAAAATACCAACAAAAGTTACAGCATTTCAAACTTGTGGAAATATATGCTAAGTTCATTTGTTCAAAAAGAAAGATGCACTTAGTAAACTCAAAGTGTGATACAATCTAAAACAGACCATTCTGTATGTAAATAGTTATTTTTTGTCTTATATAATATCACAGTATAAATTTTATGAAAATAATTTGAGCAAATCTGATTGACTGTCCCCACACTACTTAAACAGGTGGAATTGATTGAATATGTTACAGATTTAACTTTTAAATAATCTTAAACATTCGTATCATATTTTAGTTACAATTAAAGTTGTTACTTTAACTGTATAACCTAATTTAAGTAGTATTCTTGTGAATATAATATATTCTTAAAACACAATAATTTACTGCTCTTTAAGGTCTTTCTATCTCTCATTAAGGTGCTTGACTTGAAGAAGTTAAGAAGTAAATATTGATACTGTAAAACAATTATTTACTCTAGATCTGTGGATGCCAAAATCGTGATGAAATTAAACCCTACATTGGGTAAAAGTTGGTTCTGGTATTTCATCAAATAAAAATGTTCTAGTACAGTAGAAAGTGGCTACATTAATTAAAAGGTAAAAGTACAAATTTATGAACAACACCATCTCTAAAGAAAATCAAGACACCAAAAAAGTCTTGATTGTTATATATAACTCCCTGATTAGTATCTAGTCTGTATAAAAGTTTTGTCTTATTTTGCATAATCACCTTATGGTCAATTTTTCATAAAGAGAACTGTAGTCAAGTATCAGCACACATCATAATGCTCACTGCCTGAACATAGATCACAAAATAGTGCAAGTTTTGGACTTCTGACCAGCGCCACCAACCACATTTGCCTGATCCTCCCTTCTATATGAGCCATTGGAAACGTGAGACTTGGTTTTGAGAGAAGCCATCTTCTCCTTGTCCACAAACTCTTCCACTTCTGCAATCATATCTGTGACATCTTTGAGCTCTTTTTCTAATGTCTTTATTCTCAGATCTTTCCCTTCACCATCAGCTGTAAGTCTCTTGACACGTAACTGGAGATCTTTAATCTTCTGTTCTGAGCCTTCTTTCTCTCTCCTGCTCTCCTCAGCCTGATATTTCAGCACAGCCTTGTACTCCAGTCCCTCTCTGCGCTCAGTACTGGTCAGAGAAAGGCTGCTGCCAGGACGCTTCTCCTGAAGATGTTTTAACTGCACTTCCATCTCCTTCAACTGGTCATTGATGCGTCTGTTCTTCTCTCTTTCTTGGTCCAAGTCTCTCAGGAGGCCATCCTGCTTATTTTTAAGTTCTTCAACCTCTTCATCCTTCTGTTTGTGAAGGTGTTCAATAGCATTCTTGTACTTGGTATTTTCTTCTATTAATTTCTGGAATGCAATCTTCTCTGCCTCCTGTTCACTCAGGGTGGACTGTGCTAGCTCCTCCACTGTGGGCTCTTCTTTCTTTTCTTTTTCCTTCATGTCCTCTGTTGATTTACTGTCTTCCTCTTTCTCAGATGTAACATTGTTTTCTGTTGTTTGTGCAGATAGTACTGTGGCTGTCTCTTCAGACCGTTCACGGTTCTGATTCTCTGCCTCTACTTGTTGGTCTGGGTTAGTTTCAGCTTGGACCTGAACTCCGAAAGCAGCCCCATCTACACTGTCTCCTGGAGTCTTATTCTCCTCTGCTGGTTTATCAGAGGATTCCTCTTCTGCCTTGTCTGTCTTACTATCTTCACTTTCTGTGGCAGTTACTTCTGTGGATTTGATGTCCTCCCTGGGAGCCTCCACAGATTCAGATGTCTCTGCTGGTTTGTCCTCTTTACAAGGTCCCTCTGATGGCTTGGTATCTTCAGCACTTTCCACTGCCTTTTCTTCTGTGACTGTGGCTGGTTTTGAATTATCAGCCTCCTCTGGTGGCTTCTCTTCTGCCTGTGTGAGTTCTGTTTGCATAGAACCCTGACTGACCTCTGTCTCTTTGCTCTCCTCACCACCTTCAACTGGCTTCTCCTCAACAGGCTTGACTTCCTCAGCCTTATTTTCCTCACTTTCTGTTTGCTTCACATCTTCTGTTTTGGGTGTTTCACTGTCTGCAGGTTTAGGTGGCTTAGAACCTTCTGATGTAGCTTGAGCACCTGCTGTTTCTGCTGGTCTGGTTTCTTCTGAATCTGCTGCCTTTTCTTCCATTGGTTTAGACTCCACCACCTCTGTGGGCTGACCTTCCTCGGGTACAGCATCAGCAACCTTAGCCTCCTCAGTATCTTTTGACTTCTCTGTGTCAGGTTTTGCTCCCTCAGAGCCTGCAGGCATTTCCTCGACAGGTTTAGTGTCTTCTGAGTCTGTTAACTTTTCCTCTGCTTTGGTCTCTGGCTCTGCTGATAGTTCTACAGGTTTAATTTCCTCATTCTCTGCTGTTTTTTCTTCAGTTTTTACTTCCTCTGTTACTTCTGTCTTTTCATCTGAAGATCTGACTTCTTCGCTTCCTGCTGGCTGACTTTCTTCTGCCTCAGCTGGCTTGCTTTCTTCTATCTCTGTTGGCTTGCTTTCTTCTGTCTCTGCTGACTTGCTTTCATCTGTAGTTGGTTTGCCTTCTGCCTCAGCTGGCTTGCTTTCTTCTGTCTCTGGTGGCTTGCTTTCTTCTGTCTCTGCTGGCTTGCTTTCATTGGCTGTTGGCTTCTCTGCTGGGTTGCTTTCTTCTGTTTCTGCTGGGGTAGCCTCTGCAGACTTACCTTCTTGATTTGTTTTTTCCTCTGCAGATTCATCTACCTCTTGTGTGTTATTCTCTTCCACTGGTTTCTCTTCATCTTTTACTTCCCCACTCTCTGTGGGTGTGACCTCACTTGGTTTCTGCTCCTCCGGTTTCTGAACTTTGGCCTCATTATGAGAATGATGGTGCTCATCATTCCCTTGCTTCTCTGCATCGCTAGCTTCAGCTGGTTTGTCTTCAGTTGGTTTGTCTGCTAATACATCACTTTCCTGCTTCTGTTCTTCTCCTGGATGACTTTCTACAGGGGCAACCTCCTCCTGCTCAGCACTCATTGTTTCATCAGTGTGCTCTTCTCCTTTGATAAATATCACCCCAGAACTGGGTGTAGAGTAAGTTGCAATAACAGAATTTGGTCTTGAAGTCTTCTTCTCCTTGGCGCTGCTGGGTCTTGAGGAATCGGAAACAATTGGGTTTTGTGCTTGATTGCCTGAGCTTGGTCGGGATCCAGCTGGCCCTACAGGAGGGACTACCTCTGAAACAATTTCTTCTTCTGGACTACTGGATTTTTTGGTGGAATTGGAAGAGCTAGGTCTGCTCAGCTGTTTAGCAGATGCTACACTGGGTCTGGAAATGCTTGGTTCTTTAGTTGAAGCTGAACTGGGCCTGGAACTGCTTGGTTCTTTAACTGAAGCTGAACTGGGTCTGGAACTGCTTGGTACTTTAGCTGAAGCTGAACTGGGCCTGGAACAGCTTGGCTCCTTCTGGGACTTGCTAGAACTGGGCCTGGAGGTTTTACCCTGGCTAGTCCTGGAGCTTGGTCTGGAAGATGGTCTGTTTTCTATTGGTGTTGAAGGCCTCTTTGTTTTCTTATTGGACACAGGTCTGTCTACGCTACTTGTATCTGCTGACTGGGCCTGGAAATATATGACCACCTTCAATACCAGTAGTATCAGACACCTAACGTTAAAATCAATGCTTAAATACTCATAAATATATAAAACCTATACATGCACACTTTAACCTCAATACACCATCAATAATACAAACAGGGAGATTTGGAAAAGACAGTCTTATGATTTTCATCAAGTTGAACAACTGGTAAAAATATGATTAAAACAGTTGAAGAAAAGGTCAATAACATCAAAATTTGAAATGAACCATTGGTAAAAATATTCAATTTAGAAAAAGCAAAATCAGATTTTCTTCACATTTAAGCTTTTGTCTTTAAGGATTTATCTGTCGTGTGTCAAAAATTCAGTATAAACTTATAAAGATAAAGAAAAGATTTAAGTTACTATATATTAAGTTTTATTATTTTTCAAACATAATTTTTCTATTCATTTATTTATTTATTTGATAAGAAAGAGGATAAAAGACTACTGAAGAACACCAGTCATGTTCCAATTGCCTTAAGAATTAAATTGATCTGGATGTATCACTTGTCAGTGCTGTGCTCACCTTTGATAATACAGTGGCCCCCTGCGATCCTGCCTGGCTGTCTTGGCTGTTATCCCTGAAGGAGACAATACCAGTCTTAGTGTTATATTCAAAGTAAAACAGAAACTCAAAGCATTGTTTTTTCTGACCCTCTCCAGTTACATTCTTTGATATCTTTTGCATGATGTAACAGCACTGATGACAAAACCATCTCATTTCCCTATCTCTCTCTCCCCTCCCTCACATACACTGGAGTAACAGCACTGATGACAAAACCATCTCATTTCCCTATCTCTCTCTCCCCTCCCTCACATACACTCACACACACACACACACACACACACACTCACTCAAACAAACACACACACACACACATACTCACACACACACACACACTGATCTCTCCCTCATACCCACTCTCTCTCTCTCTTTCACTCATGAATTCAGCCTTACATTTTCTGGCCAGAAGACATCCTCTCAGATGCAAGCAGCAAATGCTCTCATACTTGATGTTACTACAGATATAAACCTTCACATCACTGGGTCTATAATCACCTGTTGCTATGTGAGCTCCAATGGTTCCATCTTTGACAAACTGTACAAAATTAGCATGTGATTTCTTTTATTTGATCTTATATGACTTGCATGTTTTCTGTTCTCAGTTCCCCATCTATATGTCAGCTCACGACTTGGTAACAGGCAGTGATTAATATTTAAATCTTTGTTTTGGATTATAGCAATCTTGTTAAGTGGTATCCTATTACTAATTGAGCTAATACATAATACTTGATTTCTTATGTATACAAACATTCTCTTTCATGTTTTAGTGTTACAAATTAGTCTGAAGTACAAATCTCAATTCTTCAAGGAAATAAGTTTAACTAATGATTAGGTGAAAAAATTGTAAGGCATGGCTTTTTTAACTTCTGAGACGTACAGTACTCAGTACAGTACACTGCAGAAAAACAGAATCTAGCAGTTAAAACTGTTTTATTTATATTTTCATATTAACTGTAATGTTGAAACTAGGATAAAAAAGAAAATGTGATTAAAAGTGTAGACCGAGTTTTATTATTAACAAGAAGACGGTAAACAAATACTTACTAAACTAGTAATAAATTCTAGGTTAATAATTTATACATTGTGTAAGAATTAAAGGGCCAGGTGCAACCGCCGACCTGGTTCATGAAATGTACAGACATATCCTATATATTTAAATTAGACAATAATTTTTATCAAAGTTATATCATAATATCACAAATAATTTACTTTTTTCTGCTCCAGTGCTATTTTATTACTCTTTAGTTTAAAGGGTTAGTAGGTCAAATATTTTCAACTAAATCACATGCGTACCGACGTGGCCTAACTTCATGAAATCTGACTCAGCCAGAGTCTTCCGCACAGATTATATCAACTTACCACGCAAATCAACGCCAAACACCGACTAAGAACCTAATTTTCCCCTGGCTATGTCGTCGGCAAGGTGCTCTGTCGCCATATTTTATAAACAAATCATATTTCCGGACATGCGCATTATACGTTTTCCGGTGTAAACAACGTGACATCGGCAACGGTATTGATCCAAGAGGCAAGAGCACTAGAGAATCTTCTGAATGAGAGTCTGTTCATATGAGAATCGATATACAGTGTGGAGCATGGGCTGTGCTCCCAGCGCGGCCGCTTATAAACGCCAAGAAAATTCTTACTGTTACGAATATAACACTGGAACAACAGACTTGGAGCGTACCAACGGAGAGGTGCCGTCCAAAGTGCCGCTGGCCGAGCTGACGTCAGGGTTTTCTACACGTACAGGTAGGTCATTAGACAGCCACGGGAAGATGACCAAAATAACCATGACTTTATCCGATGATGGATCATTATTGCAGATTGAAAAAATCGACAATCTCAGCGTCACCCTCTCCTTCAGGGATGAATTAGACGGAGGCAGTGGCAATAAGAAAACTGAAAGTGACAATGTCGAGGAAACGCCACACATGACAAAACACACAAACTACGGCACTGATGTCTTGTGTCCCCCCACTCAATCCACGAGGCATTTATCTTTAGAAAATCTTCGGACTCCATGCCTAGCGTCCATGTTTAGTGTCCAGTCAAAGCCAGAACTTGGCGTCCGTGTATCTGGAGAAGAGGAGAGCGACCAGACCGTGCTTAGGGCAGACCACAGGGAGATGCAGCAAGGGAAGAGTAAACTGTTTTCTTACAGTGGAATGCAGAGTGATTTCATGATCACGGATAATCCATACATTGCTAATTGTAACCCTGTTCAAAGGAGTTTGAATAGTCCATACCCGGATAAATCTGAGCTCACTTCGGGTGACAGTCACTGCCTATGTGGAGTCACAGATGATTTAGTTCAGGGAGACACACCTGAATTTTCCAGAGAAGGCATTGAGAACATTGGCATTTCTATCCCTGACCAGCTCCCTCTGTCTCAAAGTGTGGACAATGACCATGGAACAAGATATCTTAAGTGTGGTCAGCAGGCCAGTGTGGTGGTGGCCATCAGCCCAGCTGAAGGGACAGGTGGGACAGCCAGCATAGGTGGGACAGCCAGCTCAGCTGGAACAGTCAAGGCAGGTGGGACAGCCAGTTCAGCTGGGATAGGTGGGACAGCCAGCTCAGCTGGGACAGTCAGGACAGGTGGGACAGCCAGCTCAGCTGGGACAGTCAGGACAGGTGGGACAGCCAGCTCAGCTGGAATAGCCAGCTCAGCTTGGACAGGTGGGGCGGGGACCTGTGGTACTGACAATGTGAACTTTGAGGAGACTGAAGCCCCCAGTTTCTCTCCTACCACTAGAAATGCCCAGCACAACATTTCTATTTTCCCATTGAACACCAGCTCTGGGGCCTGCACTCACAGCGATAAGGCTGATGAGAATTTAACTTTGTTAAATCCAGATCCAGTTCATCCCCTGCGGACCATAACAAGAGATCCATACAAGCAGTCTCCTTCAGTTCTCAAAGACACTGGTCAGATTCTGGATGCTGGTCAGCTACTGACGCAGGCTCTGATGTCCACAACACCTGCCCTCACAGATCATGATATTGTGGGAACATCTGAGAAAACTTGCCTCATATAATTGTCATCTCATTGGGAAGTCTTTTTTTGTTTAGATGCCTATATATAGAGTATGTGCCTGTTGTTCTGAACAATATTATTATTATATGATAATAATAATAACACCTGAAAGCAGGGGATTAATAATACCTGAGGTTACATTGTACTGGTACCTCTGAATGTGTCATGTTAAAATCAAATAAATATTGCATTCTGCATTTCACAATTAGCATTGTGTAGATTGCATCTAAAGTACCTTGCATCTTTTTTTTCTGATCACAGTTGTAGGAAAAAATCCCATTAGCTAATTATTTTCTCAAAGTGAATTAAAACTTTATTTTCTCACACTTAATTTTTATTTTTGCTAAGACAAGGGAACAATCAAGATACAATATTTTTATTTAATTATATATGAGCTCATGATTATAAAAGGTGCTGAAGAAAAGTTTAAACTAATAATTGTTGAATAATATTTTAATGCTGAATTAATTGTGGATTGGATAATCTAATTAACCTTTGCTAAAATACACACATTTTTGTGATTCGATGATTTAAAGGTTTATATTTTGGATTCTGAAAATGAAAGATTTGTATATTGGTTTCTGAGACTGAAGGGTCTGTATTTTGGTTTCTGAGATTGAAAAGCTTGTATTTTGGTTTTTGAGATGGTAATGTTTGTATTTTTTTCTGCTGCTGCTCCTGGACAGTGATGAAATGATGGCATAATAAACTTCAATCATGGTATTAAAATTTTTGATCCATTTGAAAATGACGCAAAGTAAAGTCCAAATAAGATAATTAAATTAATACCCTCTACTGTTTTCATTTTCTTTTCACATTTTACCCCCCCCCCTCCAAAAAATAAATAAATAAATAAATAAATAAATAAATAAATAAATAAATAAATGGAAATGAATATCTGCATGTGGATATAAATGCTGCCACTTAGTATTTTTAAAAATATTTTTGTACAGACCAGCTTTTTCCACTGCAGAACCAAAGGTTTCTGATTAGAAGAAATTGCAGTTTTAATGCTGGATAAAAAGATTTGTTCAAATCATGTGTCTATCAGAATGATGGTGAACTTTCACAATGGTCTTTGCATGTCAGTGCATCCATCTTAGACAGAAATGTCTTCACCATGATAACATTCTGTGCAACATCTGGTTGTGCATGTGATGGATTTATGTAATAAAATGTCACCCCAATACAAAACTGGATATTTCATCACACACAATAAAGCCCACTTCGCTTCGCATGAATTAATTAGCTGGTTTTAGAATTCATTGCTGTGGGAAATTGGTTTGTTGTCCTTAATGCCCATGTGGTGAAATAGCTCCAGACTTGATGCAAGAAGGAAAATGAAAGCCTGCTAAGCCTACATTTCTTGGAAAGGTTATCAGTAGGTTTCCAGGAATACCATCAAGGAAAATGCTTAACCCCTGGGGAAAACACAGTGCCTCTGTTTTCTCAAAGCTGACTCCCGTATATAGTGTGGCTAAGGAAAAGTGAGTGGACATTGATATAATTGCTTTGTTATGTACCGCCAGCTACAAGCAATTAATATATGCGTAAACACCAAGAAATGATTTTTTCAGGTTGGGACAGTTAAGACATTTAGATTAATTAAATTTCAGTTGAAAGCTTACTAGGATAGTTCATGTGCCCTGTTTTCTGCACAGACCAATCATCACTACCACTACAATCTGCAACATTACTCCTAAGATAATTAATTAACTAGGAAAAAATTATATAATTTCATAGCTAAATGGAAAGCTAATGAGAAATTCCAGCACTCTCATGTGATGGCAGTATTTTAGGTCAGGCTAATGAAGTTCTCCATCTCCTGAGCCCAAGCAGTCACCAACTTTCTGTCTCCAGGCTCATTGTGCTTCATTATAAAGATGATTATCATGTAACCTACCAAGAGGTTTATCATGTACATAGTACATACTTTATATTAGGTTAATTGATAGGTTAATGGCATTGGGTGTCCTCTAATGGTCAACATGTCATTAAAATGTCTACCCAGTAACATATACTTAAGGTTCATGAGTAGAGTTTTCACAGGCTTCAATTAAAAAAAAAAAAAATATATATATATATATATATATATATATATATATATATATATATAAAGAAAATGAACAAATAAGTTAATCTGTTTTCTCCATGTTAACTTAGGCCCAGAGTCCTCATCGGGGGTGCAAGATCAAAATACAAAAGTACTCTCTCTCTCTCTCTCTATATATATATATTGGACCCTTTACTTCACTTCAGATAAACACAGACACACACACACACACACACCCTTAAGGTTCAGAAACACATTAAATTAATACAAGTGGATTAATTTTATATTATGAAGTTTCAGCAGCCAGAAGCCAATCATTACTGCCACTGTTTTATAGCAATAAAGCATTATCTACAAACAATGTGATGGTAAGGCAGATAAGACACATATGGAGACGCCATCCTGGGTTCAGAGATCTTCAGATATCTCTGTCTTCCTACATTTACCAGCTGGTGGCTTGTTTCTGTAGTGCGTAGTTCACACCATGGCATGCAAACTTCACATTCATACTGGCATGGATCACTCTCCAAATGAAAATGAATGTAGTATTTAGCTGGAGTATAAGAGTACTTTATTTAGACTTCCTGAATATGAGTGGCATTATGGAATAGTTGATTGATTTGGAACTGAAAACCTATTGATGTTATATTCTGTGCTGTGACTGGTGTAAAATTACATTTTGATAAGGTGGAACTGCATGATAAGTGCAAAACTGTGTTATGACTAGTTAAGTGAGTGCATGGGGAAATAAGTGATTATTTTTAATACATACTCTCATGTTAAAAGTGCAATGTGAGAGACTGCAATCCAGAGATGGTCAGTGACAAGGCTGTTAAACAAGTTTATAATTACAAGCTGTCGGAGTGATATCATAAAAGTTTAGAAAAAAGCCAGGCAGGAAATATATAGTTTTTAAGGAAAGCTTTTACCAGGGGGGCTGTAGAAAGATCAAGTTTGTAATTCCAAAGATCAGTGTCAGGTGAACAAGACTGCTGATGACAGAGAGAGAAAAAATTACTTGAAACAAAAAACTAATCAACATTGAATGCAAATGCAGTTAATGAATTAAGGCACTTAACCCACAAGCAGAAATTGCTAAGGTTTTTATTTCTCCCTGGAGGCTTCCAGTTAGATTATATTATTATCTGCAAAACAGTAACAGTTGTAATTATATTGGTTTTCTATGCAATGAAAGTTGTAGAAATGTATGTTTAGAAGACAAGGCTGTAGTAGGATGGTACGTGTAGAAGACAAGGCTGTAGTAGAAGTCTACACACAGGACAGATGCTTGAATCCTGACAACATGACTCTCCACAGTCCACATTTTCTTTGACACACAACATACCCATTCCCAGGCAATTTCTGAGGGACCAGCTTAGGATGCACTTTCACAGAAGACAATTGGATTACATTTTTCTCTAAAACACAATATAACATCATTAGCTGCATACTGTGCATTACTGCATTTATATAATAAACATAACACTGAACACTGAAAGCATTTAGCATTTATTGATGTTCCTCTTCATCTCCACTGCTTAAAGCTGTTAATTCATTTAGGTCCTCATTTGGGATTCTTTAACAGAGGAAAACCAGTAGTTTTCCATTTATATCTGCAATGCCTGGGAATTAATACCACCTCCTTTCTACACAGATATCGACTTTCCTCTTTTCAATTATGCATGTGGAATTTTTTCTGGATTTTGAAATGAAATCCAAGTATCCTGAATGTCTGGCATATTGAGCTGTTTCTCTCCACTGTTATCCAGTAATATTCTAGCTTCCATGTCCTACATTAAGTGTATGGCAACCCTTAAGTCCTGTGCAGCAGAGATATATCCTAGCTTCCATGTCCTTTATTACTAGTAAGCATATGTCATCCCCTAAGTCCTGTACATCACTAACTGCAAGGATTCCATCCTCTAGTTCTGCCATATTTGACCTCATTGCAGCTTGCTTAGATCATTCCTGTCTTTAAGCTTACACAAATATCAAATCAACCATTCAATAAAAATATAAACTATTTCCCTTCAGAGTATGTCCTATATACTGCAAACTCCCTGTGTCTGCACAAGTCATGTCTGCCAAACTTAAACATACTGCAAGTGAAACTACTGGGCCTTCTTTTCTTCCATTTTCCTTTCACAGTTGCCACTCCCGACTATTGGCTGATAAAGCCATTAGATGTGGTGTAACCTGAAAATAAAAATTATATTTATGACATACTATGAAGATATCTCTCTCCTTCTCCCAAGAAAAGCTCCAAGTGGATGCCTGTTAGTATAATTGTCATCTTTGGTCTTGGAGATGATAAATATTATTTCTGCTGAGCACTAAGTATCTCTCCCTTGACAAATTTGAAATTGATTAAGACGATATTGGGGGGGGGGGGGGGGGGGGGGCTCTGTTGCAGGTATTTAAATGCTCTTCCTGGTTGTATTTTTGATGTCATATGACCTCCTGTATGACCCTGGTAAAGCCGCCTCACTAGCCCCTGCAAACTGAGGCCCAGAGTTACCATTTATATCCAGGAACTGCAATGAAAGCCAATTTCACTGACATGATGGATGGTGGAAGGGACTGAGTAATAACTACAGGTTATGGGAGATTGCTGGCAGATTGATTTTTTTTTTCATTCTACACAAGGGAAAGAAATCATTCTGCACAAGAGATATGCTGATTAGGGCTCGCAGTCAGAATTTCTAACAGCTAGGTATATATGCTTACATGGTGGATTTTATATCAAAATCATAATAAATATAATAAGATCAAGAAAAAATTACCTAATACTTTAAATAAGTAAATTTGAATTACTCTTCCCATATTAAAATCAAGACAAAATTTGGGGAAAATATGTTTAAAATTATTGTATTTGTGTCAAAAAATCATGTTTCTCATTAAAAGCTTTTTATTACAAACCAGAAAAAAAATCTCTAAAGGCCCATCTCCCCATGTAAACTCTGTACTCACCTGGTGAACTCTAAAGGCACATTTTCTCCCCATGTAAACTCTGTACTCACCTGGTGAACTCTAAAGGCACATCTTCTCCCCATGTAAACTCTGTACTCACCTGGTGAACTCTAAAGGCACATTTTCTCCCCATGTAAACTATGTACTCACCTGGTGAACTCTAAAGGCACATTTTCTCCCCATGTAAACT